TCACCTCCTTCCTCCACGGGCTAATACGGCATTTCTTCTCTCTGCAGCTCGGCGCAGATCAAATTGTCTTCTCACTAATGTCAGCTGCCAGAGACCGGGGCTGAGTACGTGCTCCCAGTCTGTGAGCCAATGCCGCTAAATCTGTCTGAGCCACAGCAGATAGAGCCACACATCAAGCCCAGCCAGGATTCCGGGACAGCCACTCAGGTGTCAGATACGGAAAGTCTTTGGTCTAAACAACACAAACATGTTTTCAGCACAAAAGATAAATGTCACTGTCACCCGAGTAATTATCTCATTTTGAAGAAAACTGCAAGGTCTGTATAAAAATCAGACAGAAGACTATTTTGGAACACCAATGATTTTATATTATTCATAACATGGTTTCCCCTCCTGGTAATTAAGATTCAACTCTATCTGGTCTCTCATTTTCAGGCATTAACTTAGTGCCAAAGGGCCCCTGAAGTCCCTAAAGCAGAACCCAAGGGCCTGGTTCCGATCACCCTCTCAGAACCTCAGCTAGGGACACGTACTGTGATTTCCACCAATGTACTCGTACCCGAGTCTTCGTGTGGGTGAGGCCCAATAGTGTGTTGAGAGAAGTGCACAGCCCAGCAGAATCTGATACACTCCGCGAAGACACTTTACTCTATTCACTCCTCGTTATTGAGGGACAAAAGGAAGGATACAGAGAAGGATAATAAACCTCAGGATCTCTGTACTACCACGACACTACAATGTTTGACTTGCGGTTACTCTCCTGGGTATCATGAAATGAACATGTAATACCCACTCAACTAAACCTCCATCAACAGCTGGCTTTCCACAGTCACAACCACAGGCCCACTTCAATGGGCAGCAGTGCTCAGAGGCAGCCAGAGGCAGTGCCTGTGTAATAAGCTCCAGACCAAAAGAGCTAGGAAGGCCGTTTCTGTCCATTCCCACCAGGCCCTGGTCTGCACAACCCACTGAAGGAACTGGTAGGAAGGAAGTCTCAACAAGGCTTCAAGACAAAATACATCCCTTAACCTAGGCACTGCCTACACCCCTTCCCAGTTTTTCAACTAAAATAATTTTTGACAAGTGAGACTAATTATGTATTTTCATAGCATTTGGCTACTTGGAGTAATATTTGGGGTAGATGGGAAGAAATCATTTTCAAGTGTTTTTAGGCACTCTTTATTGATAGTATCTCACTTAAATTCTCAAATTATTCTTTAAAAAAATTTTTTTTTAAACATACTTTTTATTGATTTCAGAGGGGAAGGGAGGAGAGAGAGAAAAACATCGATGAGAGAGAATCTTTGATTGGCTGCCTCCTGCAAAACCCATTCTGGGGATCAAGCCTACAACCTGGGCATGTGCCCTTGACGGGAATCAAACCCAGGACTCTTCAGTCCGCAGGCCAACGCTCTACCCACTAAGCCAACTGGCTATGGCTCAAAACTATTCTTAAGAGTAGGAGAATCAGCCCGTTTTACAGACACAGACACTAAAGGACAGAAAGGCTGAATAATCTGTGTCAGGCCCAGGGCAGGTTAGTGGCAAAGGCGCGAGAGCCATCGTTTTTTGCTCTCAGAACAGTGATAGCCCAAAATGTGAAAATGTGTTATAAAGACTGTATGGAGCACCTATAAAAATTCTCATGCAAAGAAACACCATTTCAGAAAAATAACTTCCCAGTGCTTGTGAAGATTTGCCCTGAACTTCCCAATAACAGCTCAGAGCAGACGGCACAGTCCAAAGAGATCATCACGTACTACAGTTACTGGTGAAACCAAGAATAGAGCACAGGTCTGCTGACCCAGGTCCAGGCCCAATCAGGCGTGTTCTTTGGATGCTGACACCCTTCTGAAGTTTCAAGTCAGTTGAGAATAGCAAAGAAATGAGTTAATAATTTTGGTAAATAGAACAGAACCTGTAAAGTAGCTAAGGATTGGCTATAAAAGAGGCATAACCATATGAAGGTTTCTACCAAGAAAGTTTTCAACCAGAAACACTGTTGTCTGCATGTTTCATCTTCCACAGCAAAATGAAAAAGAACCTTTGCCCTCCCTCCCCGGAGCGGTGAATGATTAGCTTGCCTGTGCTGATAACTAAGGGAAACACAGTGCCTCCCCCAGCTGATTAGAATAGTTATAGCTTTCCTCTACCAACAAGCTCCTCCAATTCTATGCACAGACACTCGAACACCAGCAACAGTTAGCCAGCCAGCCAGAATAAATCTTCCGGTGAAGCAAGCAACGCTCCCATTAGCTCGGATCCACGAAGAGGCGAAAACAGAAGAGGAGCCATGTGATCAGGAAATTGCGATGACAGAGAAGTGATGAGGAAGGGCCCCAGGAAAGAGGTGCTAGAAAAACACAGGCAACCAGCTTGAAGAGTTGGTGTAGTGAGAAAAAGCTATTATACTTACTGAGTTTGACATTATCAGTAAGAGTAAGGAGCAGATGGCTAGCGTGGCTCAGTGGTTGAGCAGTGACCTATAACCCAGGAGATTACAATTCAATTACCAGTCAGGACGCTTGCCCAAGCTGCAGGCTCCATCTCCAGTGTGGGGAGTACATGAGGTAGCTGACCAATGATTCTCTCTCATTGATGTTTCTATTTCTCTCTCCCTCTCCTTCCTGAAACTAATGGGAAGATGTAGAAGGCTGGTCAACCTTGAAGCTCTGAAAGGTCAGAGCCACCGCTCCCTATCTAATTGAGACAGTGGTAACTGAGGAAACTACCCCATCCCCATCAAATCATGTAAATCCTTATTGATATGATAATCAGCCCATTACCTGCCTAAGGGCTATGGGTGTATCCCATAGTCTCAATGAAAGGGATAGCAAGGCCAGAGCCTAACAGTAATCCTCCCACTAGAGGTGGGCTCCCGCTTGGCCCCCAATATTCCCAAATTAATACTTTGTTAGTCTTTTTCATTTGTGTGTGGCCTTCTCCAGAACCCGAACTCTGAACCACGCCAGCCGTGAAAGGGGCTCCCACACTCTCCCTTCTTCCTCTCTGATATCAATAAAAATAGATTTAAAAAAATATATGTAAAAATAAACAAACAAACAAATAAATAAATAAATGTCTTAAAAAATAAATAAAATAAAATAAAATAAAAAAAAATAGATTTTAAAAGGAGGAAGAGGAGGAGGAGCCAAGAGCAAGAAGAAACAAAGATTTAGGTTTGATCTAGGTTACCAAAGCATCCTACTTGAGAGTTAAAACTAGAAAAAAATTAGCATTTCCAAATGCTAGACAGATTTTAGATTTAGTGCTTAATCTTGCTATTATAAATTTATTTTTTTAAACAGAAGGATAAAGTAATTGTCCAGCCATATCTTCATAGTTTGCAAGTTATAGCAGCATTCAGGGATAAATAAAAGTTGAACTGAGAGGTTATGATCTAGCCCTGTGGCCCGCAAACTGCAGCTCGCGAGCCACATGCGGCTCTTTGGCCCCTTGAGTGTGGTTCTTCCACAAAATACCACGGCCTGGGCCAGTCTATTTTGAAGAAGTGGCATTAGAAGAAGTTTAAGTTTAAAAAAATTTGGCTCTCAAAAGAAATGTCAATTGCTGTGCTGTTGATATTTGGCTCTGTTGACTAATGAGTTTGCTGACCACTGATCTAGCCCATCGCATCACGTCAAAACTACCCACTGATGTTCTCAGTATCACCCCTACTTGGCCAAACCAAAATTCCTACACTCAAGGAAAAGGCATTTTACTTTTTAAAAATAGGCATCAAACTTCAAATAACTGAAATCCTCAGAAAACCCTCTTTCACTGGGTTTCCAATTTGTTCTGGAAAGATAAAAAAATAAGTTGGCTTTATGGATTATTACATATTTAATTTTTACGTCTGTGAACAGTTTTCTCTCTCTCTCTCTCTTTTTTTTTTTTTTTTTTTTTTTTTTTTTTACCATTCTCATGACCCATTTCTCAGCATATTTAGATGTATAGTAAATATTAAAAGTGTAATCTAGTTATGGCTGACGATGCAAACCACTGATTTGTGGGAGGTTGTACTTGCAATCTCACAACCCGCTTCCCCAATTATGTTATTGCTGTTCTTAAGGTACTGTCCAGAAAGTGTCCAGAAACATTCATTAAAAAAGAAAATAATCAAAATTGAAGAAGAAATCGATACACAAAACCCAATTAGAAAACCAAAAAACCAAACCAAACACAGCAACCTACATATTTTTACAATGAATACACTTCACCCATCTCCCCTTCCACTCCTGGAGGAAATCCTAACTGTTCACCCCATTCCCCACTCCTACAGAGGGCCTCAGCCTCAGACACTGGACGTCAGAGCACGTGCCCGGTTCCTATTGCACCCCCAGCCTCCACTATTCCTTGACGCAGCCAGAGGACACCCCCCTGGAGGAAATTACAGATAAATGAAACAGAACCCCTTGCTAATATTTTCTTCATATAACTCTACTCTGAAATGTTCTCAGCAAACCCTTCTACCCCATGCTTAGCAAGAATACTCATCAGATCTGACTCTCAGCTTTGTAAAATATCACAGGAATTTTTTAAAAAGCCTCCTTTAGCAATTTATAAAATTCTTATGCATCTCTCAAATGGAAAGTGCAAACTTTTAGGGATAGAAAATTAAGAGTTAAAACTACTCTTCAAAACATAGCAACCTTAAATATCGAAAAAGTCGCAACAGAATTCAAAGTATAGGAGCTACAAACCAATGAACGAAATTAGACGTTAACTCCCCAACACCCTGTCCCTTCCCTCCTCCCTTAACCCTGAGGCCGAGGACCTTTAGGCTCTTATAGCAGAGGCGGCTTTCTGGGAGCGAGGCAGTCTGTCACTTACTATCCGGAATCTGGAAGCATGAGCTAACGCTCACCGATAGGATGCGAGGCCAGCCCGGTCTGAGCACAGCGCGGGGTTAAAGGAAACCATTTCATAAGATCAAGTGTGGAGAAGCAGCGGGAGCAAAGTGGAAAAAATCAAGTTACATAAAGTCCAATTGTACTCACTGTTTCCTTATTGGGAAGCAGCTCCTTTCTAATCCTGAAGAAGTTCTTGCCGTATTGCCGGAGCCCCTTAACGAAGCGTTTCTGCGATAAAAAGAAACAAATGGGATGTAAAAACCGAAAACAAAACAGGATGTCACAAGCAAAGCTATCTGCAACCAGCAGAATAACAAAGTCTCAGCCAGGGGCCACTGACCCGGCCAGGGGGGATCTCAGCGGCAGGCCTGGGGCCCCCAACCGGCCAGGCCCGCCACAGCCTTCACCAGAACCCGAGCCCGCGTCCCGCCCGGGATTAGGGAGAGGACGCCGTGTCTGCGGCTCGGGAGCCATCTGTGCCCGGTGCTAGCCGTCTGCACACTGGTCCAGAGATATAAACAACAAATGTGCTCCGTGTTCCAACCAAGCAGCACAACTGCTCTGCACCTGAGAAGAGGCTTCCGGGCGAGCAGGAGGAGGAAACAGAACCGAACCCGGAGGATTTTCCCAGGACAGCCGGCGGGCTACAGCCTCTCCTTAGTCCGAGGAATTCTCCGGGAAGGGGCCGGAGCAGAAGCCCACGGGCCTGCACGTCAGCTGGCCTGGCCCGCCATCTCCGCCGCTGAAGCCACTCCAGGGCATCAATAAAGATCACCGGCACCCCTTCCTGCTTCCCGATCCCTCCCCCCACCCCCTCCCCCTCCGCCCATTTCCTTCGCAGTCCCGGGACTTTCACTTTGTCCCATTCCTCTGCCAGCCCTCCCGCCCGCGGGGCAGCTCCGGCTCCCGGCCCCCCTCGGGGCGGGGCTGGGTGCCGGGCGGAAGCCCTGCCTCCCCCAGCCTCCTCCCCCCCCAGCCTCCTACCCCGCGGCAGGCCCGGCCCGATGGGCGCGGGGGCGGCAGCCACAGGTCCGCGGGGCGGACGCCCTTGGGGTCCGGGTCCGGGCCGCGCGGGGCGGGCCTGTCACCGCTCCGGCCCCACAAAGCGGGCGGCAGCGGCGCTCGGTGTGACCGGCCGCGCAGCGCGGGCGCCGCTGGCACCGGGGGAGGAGGCAGGAGCGCAGCCCGGCGGCCGCGGGCGGCTGCAAAAGGCGGCCTGGATCGCCGGCCGCCCGCCGCCCGCACTCCGGCCCCCGCCCGGCCTCCTGCGCCAAGCCCGGTGCGCGCTGGCGCCTGGCTCCTGCCGCCAGGAGCGCGGGGTAAACCCGGCGGAAAGCGCGGAAACTTCCTGCCGCAGCCGGCGAGCGGGCGCCCGGGCTGGGCCCCGCTGCCAGGCCCCTCCGCCTGCAGCCTCCCTCCCGGCGGGCACGGGAGCAGCTCCTGCCGCACGCCCCCCCCCCACCCCGGGCTCCAATGCGGGGGGCTGGCCCCAACGACCCTCGACCCCCCGCAGTCCCTTGGACCCCCCCTCCCCCGCGGTCCCTTCCGGCCGGGGATTGTGGGCGGCCGCTACCGCGAGACCCAGGCCTTAACCCGCACCTCGCAAGGCGCCGTTTCACAACTAAATCACCGCGGAGGCTTCCCAGCCCATAAATCACCTGCCCACCGGGAGGAGAGGCCCTCCCGCTCCCCCTGTTTGAGACCAGCCGGGCAAATTCACTGAGAGCCAGACTTGGCCTGCAAGGCAGATCTGCAACCTCCTACCCCATTCCTAGAGGCTCTGCGTTTTCAGACCTCATCCCTTTCTAAGATATGACTCATCATTGTCAATTTCCAATACAGTTCTTACAGTTCAAAGGAAAAGTCTGTCAAGGCACAAGAAAGCAAGCCCTCCTCCAGTCTGGACAAGAGTGACCTCGGTTACCTAACAAAGTATCATTCTAAGTACGGTACGCATCCTGGACGACGTGTGGCCTACCCATGGAGAGGAAGAAGGCTCCCTGGCCTCCAGGAGCTCTGTGGCGAATAGGTAAACAGATCAATCTCTGGGCCTCAGAAAAGCAGCAGAGGAACAAAGGGCTGTGGGTGGGGCCAGGAGGAGGAAGCAATTTGCACCGCTGGTGTCTTGGAGGAAGTGACAGGGAAGAGCATGAGCCTGCCAGGTGTGCTCAGCAGGGCTTCGAGCAAAGGAGTCGGCCAGGAAGGGCTCACAGAACATTCCGGGAACTGCAAGGAGGACAGGATGTGCAGAGAAGAGTGCCAGCAGGTAAGGCTGGGTGGCAGGAGAGGAGCGGGTTGCAGGGAGCCTTTTAGACCAGCGGAAGCCTTATGGGCCATGAAAAGCCTTAGAAGGATTGCTCCAGTGGCATGTGGCTGGGGCCTAGGAGCAGCCTGGCTACAATGGAGAGACAGCTAAAGAGGCGGGTGAGATAACCCAGGAGTGAGGTGAGGGAGGCCTGACCTCACTCTCAGCAATCACAATCAGTGCTTCTTCACCCACTCTCAGAACCTGCTGTGCGCCTAGCACTGGGAGCCAAGCTGAAGCACTGAGGTACAGCTCCTCGGTGTGGCAAGGGAGCCAAAGGCACAGTCTGTGTCCAGAGCGCTTTCCCCAGGATGGCGAGGCTCGCCCATGTCATGAGGAAAGAGTGTGCATAGGGGAGGGGTTCGGAAGGCCCCCATGGAAGGCAGAGGTGGTTACAGGAGAGGAGAATCTGCACAAAGTTGAGGCGGGTGATCCGGCGTGAATGTGATGGTGGGCTTCCAGGACCGCCCGAGGACACACACGGGCCCACAGGGAGGCCGGCATGATGGAGGCGGAGGCCGAGGAAGGCTGACTCCAGAGCATCAGGCTAATGTGGTGGAGCCGAGCAAACCTGAGCTCAGATTCTGTTCCTCCTCTGGACATCATCCATTCAACTAATAATTATTATCTACTCTATGCCAGGACTTACATATATTCATTTAAAATCCTCCCAACCTAGAAGAAGTACATTATTATCTCCATTTTGCAGTCAAGGAAGCTAAGGCACAAATGGGCAAGTAACTAGACCAAGGTCACCCACACCTCAGAGGAAAAGACAATTCAAACCCAGGCTCCAAAGCCTGTGCCCTTCACTGCCTCGGCCTGTAAAACGGAGGGAGGAGTCCACAGACGGAACGGTGAGTGGTCCCGGTGCCGTTATCTGTGATTGCCCTGACATCACGTCACCGAGTTCTCAGTATTCTCCCCACAAAGGTCTGTCAATGCCCTCCGCTCTTGCCTATTACAGTGCTGGTCCCAGGCCAGCCCTTACTCCTCTCTCCTTCCAGCGGGCCTCAACCCGGCTCCCCATTCAGCCGTTTACAAGCCCCTGCAAGGAATTTCTCAAAAACACCGAGTTCATCCGAGTCCCTCTCTGTCCTGCTCCCAGCCCTCCCTAAGGATAGCTCTAACCTATGCAGAGTGGAGTGTACACACCTTAGCCCTGAAGTCAGGGCCGCCAGGATCCTGTCTGTCCACCTCTCTAACCAGATGTCCAGCAATGCCAGCTGGCCCATCTACAGCTGTCTGAACTCCAGGCTCTGGGCTACCTTCTCTGCCTCTCCACAGCCTGCTCACGATCCCTCCGGTTCATTCAAACCCAAGTCCCACTCCCTCCCATTTGTCTGGCGCTTACTTATTTGCATAAGGTCTCATGCACTAAGGGTCTATGGCTCTGAAGAACGTACTGTATCTTACTCTGCTTGGCTCCCTACAGCATCAGGCAGTTGGAGCTCCCATGTTTCTGGAATGTAAGTGAAACAAAACATGAGATGACAGGTGTGTTGGGCTAGCGTGGTCACAGTGGGGAATAGTTAAAAGTCAAAGGGTTCCGGGCTCACTTTCTTGGTCCCCTGACATGAAACTCTCCTGATTTTCCTCCTATTACCTGGCTTAATTCTCTGTTCAACCTCTAAATGTTGGGGTCTCCCCATGGCTCTGTCCCAGGCTTCCTACTGCTCAAACTCCCTCCCAATATGCCGCCCACTGCCCACTGGGCTCTAAATATCACTCAAGATTCTTACGACGTTCCCAAGGCTAAACCTGTGGTCCAAGCCCATGGGGAACACTTGCTTGAATGTCTCAGACATTTCAAACTGCTTCTAGAAACATGAACTTGACATCTGGTGGTGAACACAGACCACTTCTGTCAATGTATGTCAATGACTATACTATCAAGCGCAAAGCACCATTGGCTCCACTTAAAAAAAAAAAAAGAAGTAAGAGCTTCATGTGGCCTGCGCTGCTACTTCTCTATGGAAAGCCACAAGACCTCAAAGCTGGTAGAACATCTGCTGCTCAGAGCCCAGCCTTTACCTTGTGGTTTACCAGAAATGCAGAGGGGCCGCCTGTAAAATCGAAACAAAGCCAACCCACTCAAGAGTTGGTCAGTGATCAGAACAGGTCAATATGTTCAACATTCCTTTCCCGCTACTAATTCATTTCCTTTCCCTCTAGTAATTCATTTCTCTTCAAATGAAGACCTTGAAGTCTTTAAGACTAATTTAACAATTAACATTATCGACTTAAAAATAAGACACGTCTAGGCATACCTTGGAGATACTGCGGGTTTGGTTTCAGACCACTGCAATAAAGCAATATTGCGATAAGTAAGTCATAATGTATTTGCTGGTGGAGGGTCTTGCCTTCTATTTGTTAAATAAAATTAAAAAAGGGAGGGGGGCATCTGTGAGGCCTGCCCCTACTCTAAGCTTCTGAGTGTCAGCTCACAGATATGGTCTGTTCTTAGCAGCGGAGCTGAAGTTCAGCATTTCCAGCGCTGAGATTCCAGGCCCCGTGGATTATTTCCACGTCCCATACCGTTCCTGCTCCTGGCGGAGGGCAGATGTTGGAATGCCAGGGTGTGAACTGAGGGTCCTGCGGGGGTTTGTCTTTACTTAACCTGCATGTGTTGCTTGGGAGTAGAAACCAAGTCCTTTTGCTATTTCTGAATCCTCGTAGCCAGGTGAGATCCAAAAATAAATACAAGTTTATTTATGGTGAGGAGATTATTTTTGTTTTACAAACTTAGTTTGTGGTTGTGCTCATCTCATGCATTTTGACATGTAACATTGTCAAATTTAAGGTATACATGTTAATGTGATACACATATATTGTAATATGATTGCCATTGTAGTGATAATTAGAACCCGGGTCATGCTACATAATTATGCTCCCATTTTTAGACAAATTGCTCTAATTTTTC